GAAAAAAAAAACCATTTCAAAGGACGTCTGGGATCAATAGCATATGTCCTTAGTATAAATCTATTACCGTGCTATCACAAATGCCATTCTGTGATTGGGTGCACTACTATCTATTCTGTTGCAGATAATGAGTAGCCTAGTAGTGTGCAGTTGTTAACGAAAATGGCAACAGCTTCTTTGCATTTTCAAAGTGTCTGCATGTGTAGAGGATAGATGTAGATAAAGTTTTGAATGACTGGTAGATTTATACTAAAACAAGGTTATTCTCTTTTGATTTCTATGTGTAAAGCCCTCATCAACTATCACCTGATAGAAATCTCAAACTTATAATCTGTTAATGTTAAATAGATGCACCCTACATGGCACTCATAAACCTCTTGACCTGATATTCTGATGCTTTTTTTTTAGCTCATGAACTATTCAGAGTTTCGTGTGATGACCACAGCTCTTGAAAAGTACTACAAAGATGTCAAAATTGCAATTTTAACCGGAAAGAGAGAAGCCAAAGATCTGGATATGAGGTACACAAGAATATAATTTTTTGCCTCAGTAATTGATATTTCACAAAAATTAGCTTGTATTTATTTATATATAGATCTATTTGGTAATAGGTCCTTCTCACCCAACTTGCTAGCTTCTTTGACGCAATACCTACCATATATAAAGGGACATGTTTCCTGGGGAGCAAGAATGCCATGATGATGAGAGTACTTACCTACCACTCCTGCTCAAAAATTAAAAAGCTCTTGCCTCCCACCTGTATGGCCTGGGCTCAATTGCTGCCTGATACCATAAATTTGACTAGCATGAGGTTGTAGCTGGCTGTCATCTTAATTACTCCAAGAGTTTTTCTATTGGGTACTCCAGTTTTCCTCCCTCCTTAAAAGCCCACATTTCCAAATTCCAATTTGACCTTCATAGAGGCCCCAGATGGAAACCAGCTAAGGCTGAAGTGGCTTTCACTCTAAAAATTATAATTCAATTTTAAGTTGTAGCCCTGCTGAGCTATATACAAACACTGGAATTTTATCCTCCCGTGGCCACATGGGAACACCTGAAGCAACAGTCTCACATACAGTGTAAACACTTGATTGCACAGTTAACTTTTTGTAATGGAATATTTTCTTGTAAGTGGAAGTGTGATCTGTTCCCAAGCATTGTGTTACTCCAGAAATTATCTATACCCCTCCCATGGAAGGTTTTTTTAGTTTGAAACCCTCACCCTCCTGGAAATTCTGGTTTAGCTTCATACTTTCCTTTGATACTTTTGGCTTTTGGACCCCCCCCCCCCCTGGAATTTCCATTAACCATCCTTGGGGTGGGTATGGATATTTTCTGGAACTGCACATTCTGACTCAAGAGAGGTTTGACTGTCTATTTATTTTCACAGGCCATATTTATATGACGAAGGAGACCCATATGACAAACCATTTTATGGAACATTGTTAAAAATGCTGTCTGAGGTTGCAACGTAAGTTTTTACCATCTGATGACTGCAGTGATAAGAGTTAATCCACTAAAAATCCTTGTATATTTGGTTTACATAAATACTTGATTTATTGCATGGCCTAATGGTTATCACACTGGACTCCAGATCAAGTGCCAAAGGTTTAAGTCTTAATCGGGTCCTTGTGTTGTGTTCTTGGGCAAGACACTTTACTCTCACAGTGCCTCTCTCCACCCAGGTGTATAAATCAGCCCTGAGCCCGGAGTCAGAGCCTTAAAGTAGGTACTATGTAGCACTGGAACCCCACTTTTTTGAGTTTGAAGCTGTTGAGCTCCACTATTTTAGACCCAGAGCTCTGGAGTCCTAAACCCCTTTGAGACCCTGATAAATGGATACCACCAATACATGTGCCTCAGATAATATACATACCTACAAACCCCCATGGAGAGTCATTTAGAAGTTTCAAGGGGGTGGTGGATCTCAAAAACCAAGAATTTCGAGGGAATGAATGAAGCTAGAAGGGAAGTTCTAGAGATGTAGTTGGTTGAAACCAAAAACTCTTCCATGGGGTTGGGGTTGGGGTACAGATATTTTCTTGAAGAACACAAAAACCTTCCATTGGGGTGGTCTAAATCTTTTCAGGGACAACATAGTGAATCAATGTCCAATTAAGGGGAAATAGCAATACTTCTAGTCACCTCATGTTGCTGCCTCACTGTTCAGGATCGAGCAGTCCAGGCACAAGTCACTGTCCACGGTCATTGTGTTCAAATGGCCAAGACACATTATTCTCACAGTGTGCCTCTCTCTACCCTAGTGTGTGTAATGGTTACCAGCAAAGTTAATGCTGGGGGTAACCCTGTGATGACTAACATCCCATCCAGGGTGGAGTAGAAATACTCCTAGTCATTGTGCTACAGAAACTAGAGATAAGAACAAGCCTGATGGACCACTGGGTTTGTATGCAGACTTTATCTTTTACCTTCTTGCAGGTCAAAGTACTTCGATAAACAGCATGAGGATTTAATGAAGATTTATAAGTGGTACAAGGCAAACAAGACGCTGATCACATCACCCCCTGTGAGTACAATTCTTTGCATTTTAATCATTGACTCCTTGATTATATAAATCTGTATGCATCCTTTGGTGAGACAGAGGTGACTAAGACTTTGTACTGTCATTATTCATTTCAACTGCCAGAAAATTCAAATTCCGAACTCTGCAAAGAGTGAAAGGAACTCTGATGGCCATGACAGCTTTGACGAGGACGAGGAAGAGGAAGAACTGATGGAGCTCACTAAAGTTCCCAAATTACACCTGAGACCTAAAACAGCACCTTCTATTGAGGGCCGGAGAGGTGTCAGATATGTGACTTGGAATGAGGCCCAACAGCAGAATGGACCTAAAAGGCCCTCTTCAGCTTCAAAACCAACTAAACATCAAAGAGATCTTTGGACTAGGGTTAGGAACTTTTTAAACATAATTACATTCTTTTTTTGTGTAAATTACACATTCAAATAAATGATTTGTTGATATTTTCCTTCTGAACTGTAGCGGACCAAGAAAATACTAATTTTTTCCCCAAACATGATTTCTTTTAGGATTCACTGACAAGGAGCCTTCATATAAGCCCCTATGGACCCCATCCAAGTGATGGCTCATTTATGGACTATGATAGTGTGCCTGGTGGGTACATCTATAGGCCTGGCACTGCACCACCTGTATTCCGGAATAATAAGGTTGGTCACACTTATTCAATTTGGGTGATATTGGGTAAATTTCAAGGGGTGGGGGGGGAATGTTTTGAATGGTTGATACATTTTTGGTTGAAATGGGACAACTGTATTTTTGCTACTCATTTGGGGTCCAGAAGGGGCAAAATTATTGGTCATCTCTGCAGGGGTCTCATTAATGTTTCCAGCAGTAGGGAAACTGGTTTTCACAGGCAGCAAAAACTATTTGAACTGAACTTCTTTGTTAGAAAAACTTTCTGATAGATGGTCAAACCAGCTGGGCAAAATCATTCTCATAGCCAGTCAATTTGCCTGGTGCCCGGCCCTCAGTGAAACCCCTGTCTCTGAGTTCTACAAGTTCTCTGATTGTTATTATTGTAATTTTTTTTGTGTAGGGAAGAGTGAATCCAGAAAAGCTGAAGTCATTCATTCTGAGACCAACCAACAGCAGTCCTGCTCCATACTCATCTCCAGTTATATCACCCCTCTCTTCACCAAGGGACTCCCCTGTGCCCACTAGGTTAGACTTATTTACAACTTAGCATCTCANGGTTGATACATTTTTGGTTGAAATGGGACAACTGTATTTTTGCTACTCATTTGGGGTCCAGAAGGGGCAAAATTATTGGTCATCTCTGCAGGGGTCTCATTAATGTTTCCAGCAGTAGGGCAACTGGTTTTCACAGGCAGCAAAAACTATTGGAACTGAACTTCTTTGTTAGAAAAACTTTCTGATACATGTAGATGGTCAAACCAGCTGGGCAAAATCATTCTCATAGCCAGTCAATTTACCTGGTGCCCGGCCCTGAGTGAAACCCCTGTCTCTGAGTTCTACAAGTTCTCTGATTGTTATTATAGTAATTTTTTTTGTGTAGGGAAGAGTGAGTCCAGAAAAGCTGAAGTCATTCATTCTTAGACCAACCAACAGCAGTCCTGCTCCATACTCATCACCAGTTATATCACCCCTCTCTTCACCAAGGGACTCCCCTGTGCCCACAAGGTTAGACTTGTTTACAACTTAGCATCTCAGCATTAGCTTACGCACAAAATTTAAATACCCTGTCTTAAATTTCAAATGTAATGCTGTCGGAAAATATTTTTTGGCACAAGCATACAGACCTGCTGCTCGGTTAATAAGAGCTAAGTACCGAGTACGATGAGGAATGGTTAACCAATGAAGACAGTTGATGAAATGCCTCCAGTAAACAATTTTTTGACTTAAACTGCCCCCTCTAATTGGCAACTTTRTTTGCTTCAACATAACGTCTCTCTTGTATGTTTTATCGTTGTCAGCTTCAATAATTACGTATTTAATAATTTGGTTCATCTGTTGGTTGTTGTAGAACAAAGTCTCCTTTGTCAGCACACTTCACTCCAGACATTGTAAAGGAACCGTCAGTGAAAATAGCTTCAGGAGTTGTGAAAGACAGAAGCAGTTATCCTACCGTAGAGGAGACTAAAATGAACAGTGAAAATGATAATGACGGAAATGAGGAGAAAACCAATTCTGCAGTAAATGGAACAGAAACAGGGAAAAAGTCGACACGAAATCATGCACACACCATACCCAAAGAGGCCACACCCTCCCAGCTGGAGGAGATTCTGAAACATCAGAAAAAAGAGGAAGAACTTTTAGAAGAGCAGCATGAATTGTTACAGAAAAAGCTGCTTCATGACTACGATCATTACGTCAAAGATCTGAGTTCAGCGCAAGAAAAGCAAGTTGATTTAGAAATTGTTAACGGAGACGTGAATGTGAAGAGAGCTGACCCAGCACAGGATAGTAGAAAAACTGTGCAACCTTCTCCAGTTGGAACTTATGATTTATCTGCACCTGAAGTAATACCCAGTTATTCTATTATGTACTCTGGATCAAACACTGGTAAGGTTTTTATTTGTTGTCGCTTTTCAGCCTTAGGCATAGGGACATGTTCCCCTGTACGGCCACCTCTACACTACGCCGGAGGAATTTGAAAACGGAGGTTTCACTCTGAAAACGCATCAAATATTTTAGGTCCCACTACTCCGGAGGAATTTAAAAACGCAACAATCATCGGTCGTTTTGGATTTACGTTTGAGGAAAACTCAGTCAGGGAAATCACAAGATTATCGCGACTGCATCGTTTTCCGAAAGCTCTGTTTTCAAATTGTTTTCCGTCCACACGAAAACGAAAACCCAGCGTTTTCAAATTCTTCCGGTTTGAAGAGCGTTTTCGAAAAACTCCGATTTCGTGACGGATTAGTGTGGACCGTAGGCCTAAACGTAGAAATAAAGCTGCGTTTTCAAATTCCTTCTTCAGTTGTGGACGGGGCCTAAGACTTACGGAAAGGGATCGAATAGAATTCTTGTCACGGTTGTGCAATGATTATCAGTTGATGACGGTGTTGAAAATAAGACAAAAAATAAGAAAAATAACGGTTGACGACTAATATAATGTATATTTCAGTCTTGTTTCACGCAAAATTATTTTATGTAATCACTGTTCACGGCTGCTAACAAAATCACGTTCCCGAGGATAAGAACATTTTACATTTCACGTAGAAAAAATAACGAAGTTCACGAATCATGAAAATACCCTGAACCACCCTCATAATAATTGTTTCACTAGACGTACCTACAGTCGCCTGTTTTATCGATTTCTTTGCAGCAAACGGCCACAGCAGAAGTTCGTCGGAAAACGGTCACCAGTGGTCCAGCACAAGTCCTGCCAGGCATGTAAGACATGCCACAGTACCGCTCAACAAGTAAGTTGAAAATCATGGACGATGACTCTCAAAACCGCGAACCGCGAGATTACTGGAAACAAGCAGAACAAGTAAAGTATTGCTCTATTCCTCAACCAAACTTGCGCGGGATTTTTAGAACCAACGGCATGTCTTTTCCCCTTTGCAACGGCTCTTGTAGGTTTTAGATTTTTGTTAATTTCCGGGACTAACTTTTCGAAAGCGCGCTCTGTATATTACTTACGAGATATGCCCTCCTTTGCAGTTTACCTTTGTAAACGTAAAACATATTTTTCGTTTCAGCCCTCAAGAGGTAATCAAAGTGGACGCAGTTCTTGGAATGATTACACCTATTGGTGTACAAATGGAGTATGACCGGGGGAGGGTTAGTGCATTTTACTTTCGTTACACTTCTTACGTTGTGTGATGTGCGTGACTTGTACAGTGTCAGCGTAGTGTCACGCAAGGTGAGTTACAGTAAACCGTATAATTGTTATTGCTTGGTAACGTTCCCTATTTAGATGAAAGGTCAAAAGTTCTCGTCAGGATTCAGACAGCCGACCATTCAGGTTCCATCTGGCAGCTCCACAAAATCGACTTCCCCTAACCCGGTCAGTGAAGAATTTTCATCAGCATCAGTCCCCTCTCAAGATCATTCTGAAGTGGAGAGTGCTCCGCCCCAGACCTCCTCTGAGCAAGATAGCCCGCCAAAGGAGAAACCACCTGACAGGTAAGTGAAGGTCGCACAAAATACTTGCTCATTACAAATTCACGAGTAAACACACTTGAGTAGGTACTCTGTTATGAAGTTATAACCTGAATCTCGAACACCGATTCCGCTTAACATTTCGGTGTTATTGGGACTGAAAAACATTTATTGGTTTCTAAGCGAACTGAATTGTAAAAAGTGGACTTTGAAACGCTCAAAATGTGTTTGTGAAAGTTCAAACATGACACAGTGGAGTATTTGTTTTTGGCCAATCAGGTTCAAGACTAAAGCAAACTTGGGTCACGTGACTTTTCCCGCGCTTTTCGTCGATGGTTCGTGTCCTGTTACGAGTTCTTCATCAGCGGTTTTGACTTTTTTTGTAAAAATTGTTTTTAGTTCACGGAAGTTTGCGTACTGAAACAGCCGCAGTCACTTTGTTTTGTGGCACACCGCTAAGAATGAAAAAAGTAACAAACACGCCGATGTTTTAAAGCTAGCCGTTTATCAATTTACGAGGTCACAGGCTTGGCTCGGATTTTAAACCTTAAATAATTTAGATCTTGAAAGATCTTCTTCTATCAGCAAAATGCGAGAGGCTTTTAAAATTATCCTTGTGCTAAGAAAAACGAATGGACATCTTCAGAACTCAAAACTTCAGAAAGCTCTCCAAAAAAGAAATGTATAGATACGCTGTAATTTAAAGTTGTTTGATAAAGNCGTAAAAGAAACAAACACAGTTATTTTCACAACCCCGCAACTAGCACTTCCACCTTTGAATTGCAGTTTCATTTCGGTGACTTTACTTACAGCGATTTGCCCGTATAATAGTGTCACTATCATAGTCACAAAGGTAGTTTATAAATCATTATTGTGCCACTTCAACCGACGTAAACTCTTTATTAGCCTACTATTTTAACTATTTAAGTAAAAGCTAAATACCTCGGCACTAAAATTCATTCAATTTGCTTTTTTTCATTGTTCCCAGTGCCAAGATGCTTGCGGTCCGAGGTCGCTCGCTTAGGCCCAGTCCAAACTACGCTGGAGAAATTTGAATTGAAAACGCAACTTTATTTCTACGGTTAGGCTTCACGAAAACGGAACTTTTCGAAAACGTTCTTCAAACCGGAGGAATTTGAAAACGCCTGCTTTGCGTTTTAGCGTGGACGGAAAACATTTTGAAAACGGAGCTTTTCGAAAATGATGACGTCAGTAAAGTCATGTGATTTCCCTGCCCTTGTTCTCCTCAAACACAATTCCGAAATGACCGGTGATTGTTGCGTTTTCAAATTTCTCTAACATAGTGTGGACGGAAAACATTCGATACGTTTTCAACTGTGAAAACGCCGTTTTCAAATTTCTACGGCGTAGTGTGAAAGGGGCCTTAGATTGATCGACCTCGACCCATTTGGCTTACAACTGCGCGACCTTTCTTGTCGAAGATGGCCAGTGACGTTGACCTTTTTTTGTTTTCAGGCCTTCCTCGGATACAACTGATAGCAAATCCGTGGAGCTCAAATTTAAGGAACCGGAACTCGTCCCTGAGAGAACCCCCAGGGATTACACGGTACATTTTCCTCAGGAAAAGTCTCAAGAATTGTCAAAGACCTACAAAACTTCAGGACCAGTCGTACCAGATACCATAAGATATCAGTAAGTATTTGTGAGCCTTCCAATCCAAGAGTCAAAGCCGAAATTCTTCTTTATGATCAGCTCCTTCACTCCCAGACCTTAAGAAAAAAAGCCTGTTGCATCAAATCCAGGTGAATTTTATACCATTTGCACTGGGCAGCCTTGTCTCAGTCGCGTCTGTTGTACTGATCAAAATGATTGCTCCGTTTGGGATACACACAGGTATCTAATAACTTTTGAACGTTTCGCGCGTTCAGTAAAAGGCCAGAAAGTAGTATTCCCACTGTGAAATAGCTGCTCGTTCTCTGAGTGTACGTAAAACAAACCACAAAGGCGGAAGCTGATGATCAGATGTTTTCATTTCCTTTAACAGGTGGACAGATGACGGTTTTGGCAACAGAACATACCTAAAAAAGCTCAAGTAAGACAAGATTTGTGTTAGTCTCAAATTACCTCATTTTGTTTGTTTCTGTGATGCTATGGCAATGCTATATCTGTTTGGATTTTATCACGTGTTTATCACGTGTTCTAGTGGATTTTATTTATGACGTGTTGCAGTCACATGTTCATCACGTGCTGTAGTGGAGTTATCACGTGTTGTAGTCCCTTGTTTATAATGTGTTGTAATGGATTTTATCACGTGTTCTAGTCGCATGTTGTTCACATGTTGTAGTCAAATATTTATCATGTGTTGTAGTGGATTGTATCACGTGCTGTAGTCACATTTTTATCACTAACATCCCCAGGGTACCGACGTCTCCTCGCGGGACGAGAAAGAAAATTCAACAGACGCAACACGTGACAATGCCAACCGGCAGCCGCTCATTGGACAAACGCACCCTGGCATCCCTGGTGGTCGTCAGACATCTTGGTGATGCTGACAGAAGGAACATGTAAGAAGCTTTTGAGTTAAAGGGGCACTGCCATTGTCATGAGTTTGAAAAGACAAACACCGAAAGTCGTTTTCATTGATGGAAACCTAGACATGATGGTCTAGTTTTGGTAAAAATTGCTGTATATGTGCAATGAAGCTAAAAGTACGATTACGCGTGTACAAGGTTGTAACAGGGTTCGTACGGGTCCTGGAAAACCTGGAAAGTCCTGGAATTTTACTGTGGCATTTTCCAGGACTGGAAAGTCTTGGAAAAGGGCTACTGGTCCTGGAAAGTTCTGGATATCTGTTAAACTCAAGTAAAAAATATGAAATGTATGGCAGACAGTAAGGAGNCATGCACTCGCGCAAGCACGAAGGCACGCACACTCGTACGCACCACTCGCGTGCACCCTCGCACGCACTTCCTCTCACACCGTAGAAGATAATAAATAACCTCACTCTCAGTGTTTGGCTCAAGTTCCCCCCTCAAGTTATGTTTGAAGTGTAAAGGTCTTAACACATTAGGCGAATCGGTGACTCAGCTGTTAAGCTCTGTGTTGGTAAGTTCATTTTGGTTTTGTTGTAGCGATGGCTCAAAGTCTCGCCGTACGGATGTGCGAATTCCAAGAGACAACTCACTTATGGTTGAAGGACATCATTACGGCCCGGCAGATGAACGCAAACAAGAAGACAGACCAGCCTGGGAACAGAAAGATTTATCATCGCCGTCTACGATCAGCTTGGACAGCGGTCACAGTAGTATCACTTCAAGAATCAAAGGTTTGTTCAGTTTTAAGTCGCGCTGTTCATTTTATTACGTCGTTCAACAACCAAGGAGAAAAGTAACGACATGTCCTACATTACTTGCAAAATGTTTCAGACGTTTAATTTTCAGGCACTTGTTATTACATTTCGGACAAATTTCGGACACTGTGATGAAACAACTAGAATCACTGAATTTACGCCCACAAAACTCGAATAAGACTGAAACAACATCTGTGAAAATGACAGTTTTTCTTCACCCTCAAGGTTTTAGAGATATACCGAGGAGAAAATAACAAATTCTATCAAGCTGTTACGTATCTCAAGCAGTGCCTCAGCTAGAGTTCGCCTCATAAAGGAAACTAAGAGCGTTGGAGCTACATAAAAATTTTAAACTGTATTGTAAATATTTCGGACGCTTAAAAATTTCGGACGGTTTTATTTTAGGAGACTTCTTTTGTCCGAAATTAAAATCGTCCAAAATTCTTTGCTAGTAATGTAACATTAGTTCTTTTGCAGGGCGCAAAAGACTGATTGTAAAGTCTTTAAGTAGGTCAAATGTTGGATTTGCTGACAAAAAGATGGAAATCTCTTTATCTTTTTCCAGATACGTTACGTCCCTCGTCACCAGCTCGCCCATCCTCACCAGCCTCGTCTCCGCGTAGAGTGATCCCAATCCCCACAGCGAGCCGTTCCAGACCTTCCTCAGCTCGAAGTGCTTGCAGCAACCATGCTCACGAGAACACTTCCAACTTTTCAGTGCGTGATTTCAAGCATTTCTGTTGGGATGACGAGGTGATTTTGTAAAGCGAAGTAATAAAAGAAGATATCTTTAACTCTACTGTCGCAAATTGCGAAATTTAACAAACATATAACCCATTGCAAGCGCGGGAAATTTGTAACTAGAGGCAAGTGAATGACAATACGTTACCAGGACGTTACCAGTAGTAAGCATGGGAGAACACATTACGCGTTACAAGTGCCTTGCAAGTATGGTGTCTTTAACCGAATGGTCAGAAATATTACAGAGAACGTTTGTGTAGATTTAGCTTTCCAACCTTAGACTTCATTGTTTCAACCCTCCAATTCCAAAAGAGATTAAGATCTCTTTTCACCTTACAATGTTGATAGGATGGATGTAAAGAATAAAGAATTTGAACAACTAGAGGATGTTGTCTTGTCGAATTCTCAGAACGAACAATTGACTCGTCGGATTGATTTGCGAATTGATGTGGTTGTGCTAATTATCACTTTTCGAAAACAAAATCGAGTAGTTTACTCTTTTTTTTCCCCAGTACTTGCTAACGGAAGACTACATGAGGCAGAGAGAAGTCTGGGCAGCAGTTAATATTCAGCGGTGAGTGACTGAAGGCGCGAGTTATTTTCATTCGCAAGTTAGTGAGGAGCCTTTTTGCTTTGGTACTCTAATAATATATTGTACGTGAAGTCCTCATCACAAAATAGTCCTCTCCACTTTGGCTCTTCCCACTTTGACCCTTGCCATTTTGGCTCTTTCTAGTTTGGTCCTTCTCACTTTGGCCCTTCCCACTTTGACGCCGTCCTCTGCCATGTCTCCTCAACTCGTTCGTCCAACACATACAGTCTTAAATTTACAGTCCTAAATTTACTTGTCTTTATTTTATCATCTTGATATCAGGATTTTCCGAGGCTTCATTGCCAGACAGTATTTAAAACAACTCAGAGTAGCTGATGTGGAAAGGCAAAGAAAGGCAGCAGTTACATTACAAAGGTACGTTATTCGCAAATCACGTGCACTCTGGTCTTAAAAGTGACAGTAAGCGACCGTGTTCTATGACGTTACACATCGTCACGCAACACAAAGTGTTGCGCGGCGAACTTTATCTCCAATACCTACTTTCGGATACTTGTAGCTACAACTTCTCGTAGGGAAAATGTGATAATATCGCATCTCAAC